ATCGTGAATCTTCGATCGGAGTTGAGATTTGATTAAAAATTTTTACCTGCAACCTCAATTACGATATCTGTATAATATGGGGTAATTCCGGGTGAGATGGTCCGATCTCATTTTAATTGTGAAATGTCTATATTTTCAATTGTTCTCAATGGCACACCGAATCTTGTGCACAGCCCTGCTTAACTATTCTTATTTGTTTTCATTGGAGAAATAAGGTAAGTCACGTACAATCTAACTACTGAATATTCTTACAAACTTTCTTTATCTTCTTTTAGTCGTAATTGACTAATATTCAATCAAAAAATAATAACTTTTTATTATTGGAAAATTCGATATCATTATCAAAATTCATTCTTTTTAAAAGTAACGAAGAAACATATTCGACATTATATGCTTTATGAATTTCGTAGAGGAAACAATGTTACCTTTACATCAAACAATATTAATAGTGTTTATCCCGAAGTCACAAGTCTCTAGAAGTGTCAACTACGATTCACAAAATTTTCGAATAAGAACTTTCGTCGTTGCAAGACGATGATTGACGGCTGCAGTTGAAGAAGATCCGAGTTTGACAATTGGAGATTATTCTTAACAAGTATTATTAATGTAAAATTCTTGTCGCGCTGTTCCGAAGCGCCATCGAAGTTCATAGTTTATTTTCCAATAAATGTTCCCCCGGCCTTACAATGTTCGGCCGGGAGTAGGTATACAGGAGCGCCATTACTGATACATGAATATATCTTTAAATTAGTTAATTATATACAATTGTGGCTGTTATATAGTTCGGTGCATTACTGACGTGAGCCAAGCCGGCCTGTGGCTCGAAAGTAAAGAAGGGTAAGGGAACTCGGCCGCATGCTCCACCTCAGCTCGCGACTCGACCAGTAACAAAAACATCCCTAAACTAATTCCGCCATTACTATCAGGCCGAGCGCCGAGAGTGGACGTCCCCCCTTGCCCCCCTCCTCTCACTTCTAAGCCAATGGCCGGCTTGGCTCACGTCAGTAACGCACTGTACCAACTTTGTTCTCCATCGTTAACACGTTAAGCGCCGCGAATCTTAAGCGTTTTCCCATAGAGTTCGTCTTTTGTGGCAAAGAAAAGTAGAAATACTTGTGAATCGTTCGGCGTTGCAACGTTTGCGTTACACTGTTATCAACTTAGTTGCAAACATTTTTATTTCACATCGGCTGTCGTGTATGTTATTGTTTTTTAGTCATTCAGAAGCGTCGGTCACCTGACATGGCGCTTAACGTGTTAAAAAGGTAATAGATGTTTCTCGTGCGGGTAAATTATTCGAAACATTGATTTATCTTTGCTCAATATGCTCACAGGTTCGTGAATAATATCACTAGATTCACGGACGTTTATTTTACACTTTATTCTATCGTTTAGTTGCCTTTGCGCGTTCGAAAGTGAGAAAAACTACAAAATACTCGACAGGATATCGAAGTGAAATCAAGACAATTAACAGCGAAGCTGCGGGTATTCAAATTGAATTCGACTAGATCTTCTTAACGCCGAAATTCCACGCAATAAATCGAATTAATTTTAATCAATCTTCGATTAATTAATTTCAGTCTGATGGCACGAAATTTATAATCGACTCATCGGGTCGCTCGAAATTTACGTTTAATTCGCGCGGCGATAATTGCCCCGGGAAGCGGGTCCTTTCTCCGTAATATCGTCACGACGAGCGGCGTTATGGCGGTGTTCCGTGATAAAAAAAAGAAAAAATTGGTCAATCAAGGCGGAGAAGTTTTTCCGCGTGTTCCGCTCGTCGGCTTCAATTACAAACGGATAAAATACAGCTCGTTGAAGCTCGCAAATTGACCGAGCCAATGAAGTAATGTTACCGGGAATCCGGACGAAACGAAGTTACCGGTTGCGCCGAGCGTCGCGTCGGTCGTGGGACGCGCGAGTCGCGAAATGAATACCGGCCACGTTGCTCGTGTCGCCTCCACGATTCTCCATTCGTTCTCCATCAGTGGCCAAATTGCAAAGTGCGACTCTGTGAAATCGGCTTTTGGACCCGCGGGCAACCAACACCTTGGCTTACGATCCCGTTCGTAATTGTCCTCTTTAACGCTAGAACTACCGACGATTTAATACGACCAATTGTAGTCCCTATAAAAATCATGTTTAGTAGGAGTAAATCATTTTTTTATTGAATATCGATCTTTAGAAATTGCACAACGGTAACGATATTTTTAACATTTCATTACACAGAAACAGCGTCGACTTCGATGTTCATCGATGGGAATAATGGTAGTGTAGCGAACTGTTCAATTTACCTAATTAACTGGTCATTCGTTGTTTTAAAGAATTCTTGATTACTCGCAGTGCCACGTGGAGGAAAATATAAACTCCCCTTGATTGACTGTGCTTTGAATGTTTGATAAAGTCGTTAATGTGAGTCAGACTCATGGGAATAGCCCAGATTAGGCAAAATGAAATATGTCCTGCGATTGAATATTTAAAGCAATTGATAAGAACATGCGGGGAAACTGCGATAAGAACATTTTATGGAAGAAGGTCAGTGATAGTGTGCTTTAATACGAATTGGTTCGTACGTAATCTCGTAGTTTCTAATCCGGTGAATTTTAATGTTACTAAATTAATGAAAAAAATAGTACATTACTAACGTACGTTCTTTTTTAACCGAGAAAAACACAAATAAATAAAAACACAAAACACAAGGTTCCTCTTTTTCCGATTGGATCGACCTAATACAAAGATTTATTTTTTAAAGTCATCGGAAATAATATTGCGGTGCCTATTGCAAATGAAATTTCGCACATATTGTACATCTCGCAGCGTATAACATTAAAAAAGCAATTCCACCCGCGATACCTTTCAACGGTTAGTGGCTATAATTTCCCATATAGAGTTGCGTAAAAAGAAATCAATTTCATTTACATATTTCCATTAAACAAACGTTCGTTGGAACATCAACTGAGCTTTCCTTTTTTCTGAAAAATCCGACATTTCATAATATTATCGAACTTCGTATATACAAATGGTCACCGAATCCGGAAGCAATTCGCGGTTCAAATGTAATTTTCTTGCCGAATACAGAGGAAGCCGAAACACAACCGAGTTCACAGTTGGCGAACGTTACACCTTTCCGTGGCGCGGATTCGCTTCTTGATGGAAAAACACCGGCCCGCGAAATTTTTATGTAAATTCAAACCCTCCCCCGCGAAAGTTCCGGGGATTCTTTCGTGCGGTTTGCGCCCGTGACAGCTATTACGGAAAGAGTGCCGCGGAAACGTTGAAATTATGGTAATAAATGTATCTCGAATTGGACTGTTTTGCATCGTACACCGCGCGCCCGTGCATTCTACCTCCTTCTCTGTGTCCTCCCTTTGATGGCCGCTGTTTTATACGGTCCCGGATTACTATTCGCTCCCAACGTGCTTCACACACAACTGATTCGTCTAAGGAGCGGTTTCCCGGTGCATTAGAATTTTAAAACTCCCCCGGTCGCTTTATTTCAACTGTCGAAATTAATCGTCGTTGAACGAAGCTTCGTTCGAGTGGTTGTAAAAATAGAATTCCTCTGGTATTTGCTATTCAATGTTTGGTGTTAACACATTGCGCACCGGTAACGAGAAATCTCGTTTTTATATAAAGACACTTAGCTATGCAACTTCGTTAATTACCACGGCATTGAAAAAATATAAAATTTAATTCGAATTGATTATCTATTTAATATAGAAATGATTATAGACAAATTCAATTATAGAGATATTCAATATTATTTAAAAAACTTGTACTTCGACTTACGTGAAAAAGTTCCACAAAGTTTTCACAGTTTAGTTGAGTTTGGTTTCCCAGAAACGCGTAAAAAGTTGTATTTTTATCATTCTTACAAGAAGTTACATGTAAATCGTTTTAAATATTCGATAGCTCCAGCATTAATATTGCATGAATAATGTATTCGAGAAGTAGATTATTTTCATACGTATTTGCATTTGTTATTTAATTGTAACGGGAATATAAATTTTACGCACGCGAAACATCCACTTTAATATTGTATTACCATATTTATTACAAACATTATTTACGTTTGTCCCAAATGCTGTTCGTTATTTTCTGTTGTTGTATGAAATTACGAAATGTTTAGCAAGCATATCGTTCCAAAATCATATGTTTCTGGAAATAAATTTCCAGCATCTGCGTACGACGCGATGTTCGAAATAAACTTGCTGTTTTAAAATTATTACTTGTCTTCGATATTTTCGTTTCAAATCAAACATGGCGAACTTTATCATTGTTAAAGGAAATGGAAATAGGGCTCGGTATTTTTTCCATTTCAATTGACGTCCGAATTTTCGGAACCGTCTAGAAGAATTAATATCGAGTAAAGTTCTATGTTCACGTCGAAAGACGTACTTTCGAACACGAACTTTGGAAAGGTGAATATCATATTACTACGAGGGCGGGCTGAAAAGTTTCGCCACCATCTGAATAAAAAATTGAGCGAAGAAAAATATTCAGTGAAACGAGAAGGGAATCCTGGTCCGTAAACATTTATCTGTAACTTCGAGAAATAATTTTTTTCGCGTAATCACCGGGAACGTTAATGCGATTGTACCAATGTATAATTAGTTTCTGTTCTTAAAAGACTCTTTGTTCTCCCTCTGAAACCATCGTCGCGATGTAGTTTTCGTTTCTTCATTAAAATTAGCGTTCTGACCTGTGAAATCTTTCTGAGTCGTTGAAATAATTAGTAACTTTAGTTCGTTTTACCTGTAATTTAAAGTTTGATTGTATAGAATTTTGGGAAGATTGAATACAGAAAAATGAAGTGATTATTTTAAACGGTTTAAAATAAAGAACAAATTTATTTGACATGTTTCACAATTGTAATGGTATTAAAGCTAATTTCAAACTTCCAAAATCTGTGTATGTCAATATGTTTTCTGTACAATATTTTCATTTATCGTTCAACGACTTTTGAAACAATAGTTTAAAAACGTTTTTGTATGTTTCAGGTAAGCATCCACATTGGAGCACAGTTCAAGGAGTTCGACTGCGATTAAGATTTTCTGTAAGTGGTGAGTCGAAAATTATCGTTATTAGGCAGTCGAAGGGTTGAACAAGGTACCGCGAAAAATTGACGACATATTGTAACGGAACGAGCCACGGTTGCTAAACAGCGTTACCTTCGCATGTTGAGCTAAGTATCAATCGACGAAAGGTTAATGATCTTTCTGTGTTAACGCGTTCGTGGTTTCGTGCTGGCTGGACGGCAAAAAAGTGTAATGTGTCATAAGGATAACAAACACTGAGGCCGTAATCAATGTGGAAGCCATTTTGAAAGTATTGGAAGGACATTTTATAGCGATCGAATTTACTGCAAGACAGATTTCGCAAGAGTTAAAACGTTTTCTTACATGTGAGTCATTGTAATTTTTAAGAAACGTTTCAAAAGTTACACACTGCGGCATAAAAAGCATTACGAATGCAATTAGCTTGGAAACTATCTTAAAACTGTACACTGAAACGACGTTGCGCAATGTTAAATTATAAATTCTTTAAAAATAAACGAATACGATCTTGGATTCTTGTTATGCGAGTCACAGTGATTTTGAATGGAAACTTAGTAATACACATGGAATAACATTGTATAATTTTCAATACGAATTTTTGTTTCTCTGTACACGAATTATAATAATTTTAATACTAACTTAACGAGTCATAGAAAAATTAGAATAAAAAGCGTCACGAGTACAATTACTATAAAACAAAAATTTCAATCAAATTTAAAATTCCACTTTACTGTTACTTCACCACATTCGAAATTCTGTAGTTTAATCATTAAATTATAAAGCTTCTTATTTCATGTGAATTCATTGTTGACTGTTACATTTATATTATGGATATGTTAATTTTAATATACTTTTTAAATCGCGTCATCGCTAATAACATTCAGCAGGAGTATCGCCGAATGTCTTACAAAAGTTACTATTTCATTTTTACGAGTCAGAAACGTCATCCCATTGTTTATCGTCCGATTGAGCTGAAACGCAGCGTGACAAACTTTCCCTTTCTAAATCGTGACCGTGAGCAGCCGCACACCGATCACGGATTTTAGTGGGATCGCCGTGGAGATTTCGTTGCATAATGCCCGCCGATTATATTCCATTTTTCCGCGGAGATGAAAAAAGAGAGGAAAAGGGGACGCAAACCGCAACGGCGCGATTGCGCAACCGATCGGTACCTGTGAAATCGCCGCTTCAATGGGGAAACGTGCACTTTAACGTCTCGGAACGACAACGATTATTTTATTTCGCTCTCCGCGCTAATAATGGATATGCCAGTCGATCGAGTAGCACGGTGTAACGAGCCCGTAACAAGAAACTTTCTAATAAAATCGTATCATGGGGCTAACAAGCCTTGTCGAAAGCGGGATGAAATTTTAGAAATTGCCGAGCACGTGACTTCCAGGCTGAGAATGGCTGTCATGCAGTTTTTTCATTTTCTTTGGACGTTAGGATGTTACTGATCGATTGGATAAGATTTTGACTGTATTTTAGATGATTGGTAAAGAAATTAAATTTCTATTTTTAAGATATAAATTCCATTTTTCGGGCATGAAAAATTACGTGTGTCAGAATAGAATATTAACTTCTTAATTTTGACTTACTTTGTTTAAAAGCGTGAAATAGTTACCTTAAGATGTCTAGTAGCTAAACATTGAAATTAATATTTGAGCAGTGTTACTATTAATTCATTAAGACGGAATTTTATGTTTTGTGTATCTTTTATATTCATATATTGCCCTCTTCCATTATTGCAGCAGTTCTCGAAGCAGTAATTTTCATTAAAATATATTATTTAATTACAATATATAATTTTATTCGTATTATTAATCTTGAAATATTTATGTACGCGATAGAATCGCATTATTGAAATTATTTCAAAATGGCCATAGCATTTTGAATTTTCTACAATTCGAATCAGTTAAATGTTCCATAAAGTTTAACGAGATTTTTATCTTCTTCGGATAACGGAAGTTTCATGAAACAAATAAAATTCTTTTTCTATACTCCCTCCTCCGTAAAAAATCTATAACTGCATAATGATCCGCAGTCTAATTATCGTTGTTACAGAATGCAAGAGATTAGAGATTCCGTGTAGCGTGCGCACATAACGAGTTACACGCAGCGTAGTAATTGTGCCAGTTAATGGCTTTGTTTTAACAACTACGTTACGCGTGCCATCCATTCGTAATTAACAAAGGAAAAATTGATACGTACGCTGTAATTAATTACGCCGCATTTACACGGCAACAGTCCCGAGGATGAAAGGTTTCAATTAAATTTTCATTTAATCAAATTCCGCTTGTTTTTCGTCCCGTCCCTTTCAATCAATTATTTTTATCAAATAAAAGGGAAATTATTTTTAATAAAATCCCCCGGCGGAACCGTTTGATCTAAACGCGACCGAAACGGCGTCGATAACTGGAGCGCGGGATATTAAATCCGATTCGTTTAACTGTACAAACACGTGGGATTCTTATCGATGTATACCGGCGGAATCAATTAAACCCCATAATTGCTTCATAAAATAAATTTCATTTCAAGCAGGTTGTTAGAAAACTGACAGGCATATATTTCCCCGCGGTATAATATAAATAGTGGAGTATCGAACGAAGGAATAAATAAATCGAACGGCTAAACGGCGGAAAATATTAATTAATTCTTTGCGCGTTACTTCCTCGGTTTTATCGGTGGTTTAATTTGACTTTTACCGTCTGCAAAATTAATTCAATCCGATTCTACCATTATTGCGAATTTCGGTGTAATATGCGTTCGAATCGGTTTACTTTCATAAGTACCGTTATTTCATTGAAAATTTCGAGTGACATGCATATTAATGATCGCGCGTTATGCTTCCGCTTCTGCAGCTTCGATTCTGTAAACGACGTTTCATAATATGGCGCGTGACAGCCGTGTCTTTCCAAATATGTGTATCGATACGGTGAACATTGCGTAATTGTAACATCGGGGACCTTTTCATAATTGCAACGTCGTCGTCCCCACCATTATCCCACAACTGTTCACCTTTTTCGAATGTAGTGTAAGGGACAAGTATATACAGGGAAGACATATATATACATACAGGGAAGACACCAATTCGCAGCTCGGCACGATAGTTACGGTGGCTCAGTTTCGGCATGTCCTTATTGGCTGACAAGGAAAACTATCCCGGAAATTCAAAAAATTATGAAACTTTGCGTGTAAGTAGAATCAGTTAAATATCATTCATTGCAATTTTTTATCGTGCCGAATTACATTTTGAAGGGATGAAACCACCCCCTGAATGAAACTAAAATTCTTTCCTGTGGATTATCTTAAGAACGCTAACAGGGAAACAAAGTTTTAACAAGATTTTGCTTTGTTCATTTCGAAATAAATGCATTGAACTCGAATACTACAATGATGTTTCGTTTACCAGTAGGCTACGGATTTTATTTATTACCCTTACAAACGAATAAATCATGAGTTTATTAAGTTTAATCCTCTCACGCTATTTAAATAAGTAATCATTGTTTCAGTATTTCGTAATTCGCGTCGAGTTATTGTAAAAATTTAATGAAGATAAACGCGCATAAAATTTATTTAGAAAACGTTTAAAAGTCAATTCTCGTGTAAAATAAATCCCGAAAGAGTACGAGGTTTAATATTCTTTTAATGTTAAGGGGATATAAATTCCTATTCAATTCCCGTTCTTATAAATCACTTTGCGAACATTTTTCTCTTCATAAAGGACTGCAGTCTAACCGAACCAATAATCGAAAAGGAAATCTTACCGGGGTACATTCAACCTGCGACGCCGAAGTTAGAAAAGAGACTTTCCCGGTAATCGTAATACGCTGTCGATAATTCGAAAGTCGTAAATTTCCCGATAAACTTAATCGACGCCGCCCGAGGCTTCATCAATTTCGCGACATTAGACGTCAAAGGATACTCGAGAATTTTAATTAGCCGGCATTTCCATCTCGAACGGTGATATCCGACCGAGTACAGGAATTTCGACTTGACACTTGTAAATCACGGACTGTGACGACTTCCGCGTGAAACGTTCAGAGAAGCCGGCTTCGAATCTTCGAAAGCCGCGTCTGTCGAACTCCTTTCGTCGATCTCGCGACGATAGTCTTTCCCGTAAAAGAAAGATACTTAAGGACAGACTTCAATCGAATTTTACAGTTTTCTTCCTGCTTAATCGACCGTACTGCTGTACAATAAATTTTATTTTTAACTCAACAGGTTTTCTTGCGATGAATTCGAATGTCGAAACTATTTCTTTTTCATGATGTAACGTTTTGAGACAGTCTATTTTAAAAGAGAAAGTCAAGGTTTTTAAAGATTTTATAATTGTTCTCGTATAGAAATTTCAAGTGCATACAGGTACAAAATAAAAAAATCTGTTTATTCAAATAAATTGACTTTTCAACATTTTTCTATAGAAACTCCAAGAGTACATATATTGAGACTTTAATTAATTTACAATTTACGTACCGTTAAATCAATTTCTTTAATCATTTCTCGGAGAAGCATCTGTTGTCTTTTGAATAATTGTAAAAGGAAGTAATGCTAAGTAACAACGAGAAAGATTAAAAAAAGCGTTAAAAAATAACGATGCGAAGGTGGGCGAACGTTTTCACAATGGAAAGTACGTCAAACTTACGCGCTAACCTTGTTTTCGCGTCTGCTTTATTCTCTCGAAACCGGAATCACATTTCATAGGATGCCAACTAGTCGCGACCGCTAGGTAGGTCTTGCTTCCTAGTGCATTTTTACCGGGCGGAACCAGTTCGCCTGTGTGTAATAGGCGCAGCAACGGACTGGGAAACGTGGCCGATATTTAATGCGTGTTTTCACGCGCGGCATTAATGGGGATCCCTTGTTCCGTCGTTAATCGTCTCCGAAAGTGATTCGGCCGATTTAAAACGCCCGGTTTGACGCGCGCGTCCGTATTTCACACTTTTAACCGAGCATGGGGGCGAAGTGTATTGTAAATAAGCTCGAAACCGACAACGAG